AAACAAACAAACAAACAAAAGAAAAGAACAATGACACACTGAAATTCGTAATTTTCTTTACTCAGCGACAAAATGCAGTGACCTGTCACCTCCTAAAGGGGGCGCAAAGGTTTGTGATGACTGGATAATGGGTTCGATCTGTTCACCTTCTTGTAACAAAAAGTGGGACTTTGCTCAGCCTTTGCTTTCGAGTGTGTGGGTTTGCGGAGCATCAGGAGCTTGGAAGCCAACAAATCGTTTTCCAGACTGTACAAGTGAGTAAATTATTGTTTGCATTCGTTTTCAATTTTTAAACTACAATAACAGAAATCACATAAAAGCCATTTACCAGGTCCTCTTCGTAATCGCTCATCTACATGTGTGGGGGACGTCTTTGTATGTGAAAAGCCGTCCACAGATGTAGCTGCTTTGACATTCTTCTGATTTTTGTTTTGACAATTTTCTCACATACTTTTTGGTTTGAATGATATTCAGCTCCTCGGTAACTTTGGATTGTTACTCTAAGTATATTCCTGCATGGGTTGAGACTTTTGTACTGGTTTATTTCATTTACGGAGGACCTAACGATGCAGTGGACTCCAAGATAGTGGATCCAATTAATGACGTCTTATACACAAAGAAGTTAAATCTCACGGAAGTAGGGCTCTCTGGGTGTGAAGCTCCCCGATTTACTTGAGTATTGAGCACTGATTTTAATCCAGTAGATATTTTCGCTTGCATGCAATTGGTGTTAACGCGTCGCGTGACTAAATATCCCTCGTCTAAAACTGAGGAATATCCGAGTGATATTCCCTAATTTTCATTGGATCTCGTGTATCGCAAAAAATAAATATATATTGAAGGATAATAAACACAGTATCCTCCATTTGACTCCAAAAATTATCCCTGCATATTATTTTTTCCCTATACATTATCTTCTCCTCGTGGCTCGCAGATTTCTTCGAGTTTCGCTCTCGGACAAATGTTCGCTTCTAATAACGTCCGAGGGCAGATATCCGGGCATATTTTCGCGCCAAATGGTTGCTTACAAAACATGAAAAAATGTGCTCATTGTACTTATTAGTTCAGTAATTGACATGAAATAGAAAGCAGACAAAAATACGAAAAACGTTAAATTTGTTTAGTTTTCTCCTGTCAATATTTATCAAGCCATAAATTCGGTCAGGATGGAGGTGATTTCCAGGTTATCAGTTAAAATTGCAGTCTCTCAACAGTAAGTTTCCAAATCTAGGATCTCAACCATCAGTTAAAAAACTGGTCATTTTGTTCAACTGACTTTCACAAATTTGGACCCATGTATTCTCTGCGATCAGTTAAGCCCCACTCAGACCCGCTGATAATGTAAGGAAGAAAACTAACTTTTTTTTGTCCATTAAACCTTTTGTAGAAATATATCACGCTTACGCTGTCAAGACGGAAATGGATTTGAACTACTACTATGGCAATTGTACTACACCAGAAGTTCAGGCACAAATAAAACAGAACTTTATCCAGCTTTTGAACGAGACTTTCTTCAACGAGGTCTGTCACTCCGCACTTAAAGACAAGTGCAAGGCTGAAAATGTGGAGGTCAAGTGCTCTGGGGTCGGTTTGGTCCCCAGTAAGCGAAAACGTTCAGGAGGTATGGCGAAGTAGCATAACGTTTGAAGAATCCAGAGACATTTCTGAGTGTAGCAACACGAGCCTTATAGGCGAGTGTTTCCACAGCTTTCTAAAAATGTTTTCCCCAAACTTTCGCGAGTGTTTGCATGACTCGATCTTAAAACCAGGAAATGTTTCCATTTCTCCTAGAAAACACTAAAAGGAAAAAAAGCACACTCTCTTTGCTTGCTTCACCTTTACGTCGACAGCTTGTGCTAGTACTGTTGTTCTATCAAGCTAGAGAAGTACAGCATTGAACGTGCGCTTTTTTTACAGCGTGCTTTCAAATAGATCCCAACCTTGTACATAATAGATTTGGAAGTATTCTAACCTTTGTTGCCTTTAGAAGTTTGGCTGACAGCCAGACAGCTAGACAGACAACCATATTTTCTGTCCATTTCTTACTGCCTTGTAGACTTACAGGCACATATTTACAATCACACTGATGTAAAGTAGAGTGTTATCCAGGGTCCGTCCTCAGTATAGTTACCAGCAGATCCTAAGCTTTGTTATTTGAATTGCTCGAGTTTTTAGTCTGATGACGCCTTAAATTTTATTTTCCAGACGATGACGGTTGTCATAGCAGCACTGGAGGATCAATTCTACGAACCAAAATTACTCTAAATATCGTCGGTAGGTTAATAATATTACTTTAAGGATTAACATTTTGGAAAAAACAAAAAAACAAAAACAAAAACAAAAACAAAAAAAGAACACATTGGCTTTTAATTTAAGGGCTGCTTGTGACTCTTATGGTGAATGTTTTATCTGCATAACTTGCAGTATAGCGTGTTACATGTAAAGAAAGAAGAAGAAGAAGAAGAAGAAGAAGAAGAAAAGACTTGTCTTTGTCCTAAAACTATAGTCACGAAATTCCACTTTTTGAACCACGCTGCCTAAGTCTCTTACCTGTATTTTCCCTCATTTGCGAAGTCACATAACTCGTCACTAAATTTTCGCTTTACTTAGCATGAAGGGAATAAAGGTATTTGGATACTAGTCTACTTAGTTGTTATCCACCAGCAGGTTGTCCTCATCTGCCCTTAGGCGCACCACGCTCTTGGTAGAACGAAGAAGTTTGAGGGAATGCTTCAGCCCAACAGCATTCATCAGGGACCAAGTCACGATAGGAAACCTTCCTTCCTAGTTCCAACATATTTACCATAAGGCAACGATATAGGAAAAGGGATACGAAGTCAAAGACCCCTAATAATCACTGAATGTGACGACGTATTATCATCGGCGTGTCAGTGAAATAATGAAAATCCTTTTTTGCTTTACTTTTATAGTCGACCTCAATGGCATTGACGCAAATGACACTAAAGAAGGCCATATTATCATTGGTGAAAAGGGCGTGAAAATTGCCAAAAAGATCAGCAGTCGGATAAAAGCTGCAGTTGACAACGGCAATCTCAGTCTGACCATCAATGGCACTGAGTTCGTAACTGATAAATATTCATTCAACATCTTAGAACCTAAACAACTTTGTACCAAGGGACAAACATTTAAAGAAGGATACTGCCGTAAGTATGTTTTTCAGATTTATTTTTTATTTGATGGCGGTTTCATGTTAAAAACCCACATATAGGAACAATTAGACACTGCACCAAGACATTTCATGCTAGGTAGTTACGCCTACAGCAGTAAGATTTTTATACCACACGTTTTAAACTAAAACCTGGTATAACATTTTTGGGTGCTTTACTGCCATATAAACTTCTTTACTGTATCTTTGTCTTTGTGATCTATAGTAAATTGTACAAGTGGGACCTTCTTAAATTATTTAACTGGAAAGTGCGAGGATTGTCCGATCGGATCATACCAAGAGTTCAGTGCACAGGAAGAGTGTTTGATGTGTCCATCGGGTACTTCAGCTATGCAGACGAGAACAGAGAACAGTTCCAGCTGTTTAGGTAACTAAGCCTGACGAAGTAATGTGCCTCAGATTTACTGTAACTTAAAACTTAATTGGTATTCCAGAACTTATAAACAAACTATCAGATAAAATAAACCTTCAACCCTGGCTACATAGCAAAACACAATTATTTATTCTACAACAAATTGCCAAATCAAAACTAGACACACTTCGTTAAGATGATAATTTTAAAAAATCGCACCTTGCGTTTCCTCTTCTCCATATCAGTATTTTCAACAAATCTTTAATTAAGCAAAATTCTATAAGCAGCATGTTTCAAAGACGGAGGGGAGTCCGAATCACAGTGAAAGAGTTCCTTCTTTTAAAAATTTATGGCACCTTTAAAGAAAAAGGCATTTTAAATAAGTGGGAGGAGGGAGGGGGGGGGGCAGTGTATTCCGAACATTTCGCGACAGGTGGTAGTGGTCAGTGTAAGCCCTTGTGATACTATTCAATATGTATCATGGTGGAATGAAATACATCACCTTTAGAATGAAACCTCTCTTGATCATTTGTTTTCATGGAAGCTCTCTGCAAACCTGGTTCGTATTCGCCCACCGGAATGGAGCCTTGTTTTCTTTGTACAAAGGGGTACTATCAGACAATGGAAGGTCAAAGATCGTGCTTAGAATGTAGTCCTACCTTGACAACTCCTGGTGAGGGATCCAACAGCTCTATGCAATGTGCAGGTGTGTATTTTATAGATATACCATGTACGTGCTACATCAGGTGTTTCGAATTGTAACTAGCCCCCCAAGGAGGCGAGGTTTTTATTAAAGACGTATTGGCTATTTTTCTAACCCTGCGAACGTTGGCTTGTGTTCCCTTGCGCGACATCGAGGCAACCTTCCTTTATCTGTTGGCAAATAGCAAATTGTTTGAGCAACCTGACAGCAAAACGTCTTGGGAGGGAGGGGGAGTGGACCGCGATGGACCAGCGACATACGTAGTAACTGCATGGTGTAGATACCAAAGTTANAAAAAATCGCACCTTGCGTTTCCTCTTCTCCATATCAGTATTTTCAACAAATCTTTAATTAAGCAAAATTCTATAAGCAGCATGTTTCAAAGACGGAGGGGAGTCCGAATCACAGTGAAAGAGTTCCTTCTTTTAAAAATTTATGGCACCTTTAAAGAAAAAGGCATTTTAAATAAGTGGGAGGAGGGAGGGGGGGGGGCAGTGTATTCCGAACATTTCGCGACAGGTGGTAGTGGTCAGTGTAAGCCCTTGTGATACTATTCAATATGTATCATGGTGGAATGAAATACATCACCTTTAGAATGAAACCTCTCTTGATCATTTGTTTTCATGGAAGCTCTCTGCAAACCTGGTTCGTATTCGCCCACCGGAATGGAGCCTTGTTTTCTTTGTACAAAGGGGTACTATCAGACAATGGAAGGTCAAAGATCGTGCTTAGAATGTAGTCCTACCTTGACAACTCCTGGTGAGGGATCCAACAGCTCTATGCAATGTGCAGGTGTGTATTTTATAGGCATACCATGTACGTGCTACATCAGGTGTTTCGAATTGTAACTAGCCCCCCAAGGACGCGAGGTTTTTATTAAAGACGGATTGGTTATTTTTCTAACCCTGCGAACGTTGGCTTGTGTTCCCTTGCGCGACATCGAGGCAATCTTCCTTTATCTGTTGGCAAATAGCAAATTGTTTGAGCAACCTGACAACAAAACGTCTTGGGAGGGAGGGGAAGTGGACTGCGATGGACCAGCGACATACGTAGTAACTGCATGGTGTAGATACCAAAGTTAATTGAGGACCGATCACGCTTGTGAATTAGGTGCTAGCTTGCCTACAGCCACTCGCTTTAATCTAGGGTACTTTGTTAGCAGGGCTTGCAGTTTTCGTAGATAGAGTTTCAGTTTCGGAATCGATGTTACAACTCATCGATTTAAATTACGGTTTGACATAATGCCATTCCCTATTTATATGGAGATTTCTGTTCTTTTGGTCAATTTTTGACGGCGTAGACGAGTATAAGTGCTCTTGTGTCGACGGGTTTGCTGGTATCAGCTGCGAAATAAACATAGACGACTGTACACAGAATCCATGTGTGAACGATGGCCCTTGTGTTGATCTTATAAATGACTATCGATGTATTTGCAAGAAGGGATACACAGGAAAAAACTGCAGCATTGACATTGATGAATGCACCGGCTCTCCTTGCCTAAATAATGCTACATGTATCGACAGAATCGATAATTACACTTGTTCCTGTGTTGATGGATTCAGCGGACCTCACTGTGAAGTTGACATCGACGACTGTGTGATAAATTCCTGTGGTAATGGATCCTCGTGCAGGGACGAAATAAACAGCTACATCTGCGAATGTCCGCCAGGTTTTCTAGGTGATGACTGCTCAGTGGAAATTGATGAGTGCGCGTCTTCGCCTTGTTACTTCGGCGGGACATGCCATGATCAGGTAATGTACCTGTGTAGATATACCGCATGTTACCCTTATTTTCAAGTCACATAAACCATTAAGTAATGATTTTTAATGGTTTGGCTTGAAGCTTTTAGACGTTATTTTGAACACAGTACAAATGGTTTCCTCAAAATGCTTACAGAGTTGTTGAACGTGTTCTGGAATTATAGAATTGTCGTCCTGTTTCGTAAACATATACCTGTGCAGAAATACGAAAGATGTCAAAAAACTGTTTGCGACGTATTCCTTTTTCGCAAACTCAACTGTTGGAATGCCCGATCGGTATCTGGGCTTGTATGAGCTCGAACCCAGTAAGGGACTCTTTCTTTCGTAGTCCTACAATCAAGACGACTTATCTCTATTATCATTTCTTATCATCATTATGTCTAATCCGCAGATTAACGGCTTCGTTTGTATCTGCCCAGATGGATTCACAGGTTTGCAGTGCGAAGAAAATATTGACGACTGCAAATCCAATCCTTGTGTAAATAATGGCACATGCTCAGATCTGGTGTTACATTACACTTGTTTTTGGCTGAAAGGTTTCAGTGGCTATAACTGTGAAAGCCGTATTGACTACTGCAAAACAGCCAACTGCAGCCACAATGGCGTCTGTGTCAACACTCGCACAGAGTTCCACTGCAACTGTAGAAGCGGATACTATGGGAAATACTGCGAGCTTGAAATAGATGAGTGTTTGGAAATGCCTTGTTTCAACAACGCAACTTGCCATGATGCCGTCAATAACTTTACTTGCTCTTGTGCTGATGGTTATACAGGCAGGTTATGCGACAACAATATTGACGACTGTGTCAACAATAGCTGCCAGAACAACGCTACTTGCGTCGACCGTACTCTGGGCTACTCTTGTCGGTGCTCACAAGGCTACAATGGAACGTACTGCCAAACAGAGATCGACGAATGTGCATCAAACCCCTGCACTAACAACGGAACCTGCGTTGATCAGACACCCGGATACAAATGCCTCTGTCCAGATCAGTTTATTGGCGAAAACTGCGAAAACATTACAGACTTCTGCCTTTCAACACTTTGTCAAAATGGAGGTACGTGCAATTCTGACAACTCAACTGGGAGCTTCACTTGTTCATGCAAAACTGGCTTTACTGGTGCCACGTGTGAACAGAATATTGATGACTGTGTCTCGGGTCCTTGCATGCCAAACTCGTATTGTCAGGATCTGGAGAATGGTTACAGCTGTGAGTGTTACCCTTCCTTCGCTGGAGATTCTTGCGATATCTGTAAGTAGCAAAGTGTTTTTTAATATAAATGCTTCGTTTACAAAACCTGGGGATGCAATTATTTTAGAAATATCGCGCATATGATGCTTGTACCAGGAAAAAAAAAAAAAAAAAAAAAAACCTAAGCGTCCACAAGGTAGAGTTTGTGCATTTGTGGCTTCATTTAGCACTGTATCTTAGACGCTAAAAGACCGATAAACTAATTTTCACATAGTTTCCATGTTTCTAGTTAAACAGGAAGACTTAATTGTTTTGTCAACATTATGAACTCTTTCTTTGCAGTTCTTGGCAGCAACTTCGATCTTATTTTTAAACATAAGACCGCAGACGACATGGTTTTTACTCTCAGACGGTAAAAGTATTCCAAACATGAGATATTTCACCATCGCTATGTTTGTGCGAGCAGATTCCAGATACAAATCAGGCACACTGTTTAGCTATAGCGTTGCTGGGCAACCACAATCAGATGACGTCATTGTACTATCCTTTACTGAGTCTCAAGTTCATCTGGAGATTAAAGATGAGGTAGTTACAGCCGATTACAAGTTGGCAGACGACCACTGGCATTACTTGGGGGTCGTGTGGAACGGAACCACCGGAAGTGTTTCGGTGTACATCGACAGAGATGAAGTGAAAAACGCGAGAAAAGTCAAAATCGGAGAAATTATCACTGGAGGTGGGTGGATTGTACTTGGGCAACGTTATCTCGCGGGAGAGCAGACGACATCCATTTCGACAGCCTTTGGTGGCACGTTACATCAAGTGAGCCTTTGGGATGTGCCAGCAACTTCTGACCACATGTGGAACGCGGCGCATAACTGCACGTGGCCCATTGCAGGAAGTGTGCGAGCATGGAGCAGCTTTCTACCAGGAATCAAAGGACAAGTAGAAAAGAGGTTCATGACGCAATGCAAAGGTATTTGTCATTATAGTAAATTGTAATGCCACTTGGCATCTGTTATAAATCATGTAGTTTACGCAAGCTCATCCGAATTAAAGCAATTCCAAACTTACGGAAAAAGAAAGCTAATTACGGTAGTATAGCCACCCCATAGAGCCTTAATTGTGCCACAGTTTGTTTTGCTTGCTAGCAGACCAGCTTTTCCGTGATAGTGTTCTTTGTTATGTTCTACAAGACAATATAACGTTTTCATGGGGTCAAGAAAGTGTGATATTATAGGAGATAAATAAAGAGCAGAGTTCGCCAAGTTTAAGGTGTGTGCGTTGTCCCAAAGTTGAAATATTCGTCGAAATGTTCCGCGTAAATTTACAGCGCTCAGTTGTATGGAGCCGCCATGTCGGTGTTCCTCTGTGGTACACCAGTATGGCGGCCGGAAAATAGTGTTAACATCTGGAACTTACCTTGTAGGATGCTGATTAACTGCACTGAACAAGCAGACATTTAAATAAGCACTTTTCCGAATACTTTAACGTCTTAAATGGCTAAAAATCACGAGATAAATACATATTTTTCGATAAACGCGATCGTAGCTTTATGTCACGTACCGCCATAACTCTGAAATTCAAAATGGGCTGGTATCCAGGCGAAGGACACTATTGAGCTGGAAAGTTGTAAACAGATATAAAATTACTACTTCTTAGGCCTGGTGAAGATAAAAACTTTGGTGGCTCTTTATTTATGGGTTTAAGAATTTGATGACGTCACGTGAAAACGCTTTATATCAACTTTCAGCCTGAAGATGAGACCCGAGTACGAGACTATTATAATGACGACTATTTAGCAGCACTATTTGAACTCTAATAAGAAACCTGACTCTAGCTTTTCATTCAAAGAAAACTGCCCATCTGACCAGGAAGTATTTTGCAGTGCCTGACTGCTTTTAAAATATGGTACGAAACTTCATTATTGCAATAGTGGGATATATATATATTTTTTCACTGTTTTATTTGCAGCTTTGGACATGTGTACAACTAACTGCTCGCACTTCCTTCACTGCGAGTCTCGCCAGGGACTTTACCACTGTAAATGCCAAGCCGGATTCTCAGGTCCTCACTGTGACATCAATATCGACGAGTGCAGTTCAAATCCCTGTATTAATGGCACGTGTGTAGATGGTATCAACCGATATGACTGCCAGTGCAACAAAGGTTATTGGGGAACCAACTGTGAGAAGAAGATCATCAACGGAAAAGGTTAAAGGGTCATAAAGCTATAAGTCTTGAATCGCTCAGTTTAACACTACTTAGAGGAATACCACGAATACGTTATGTTAAGAAAATAGCAACACTGAAATCGGTACTCTCTATCGGTGACCAGAGTACGTTTTCCGTACCATACTTCACTCCCCGTGTGCTTTTTAAGAATTTGTTCGCCATTACCAACACTGGCTTTGGCCTGGCCATTCTTTTTCAGAAGTGAGGGTGTTTTAGCAGCTTCAGTGTCTTTTGCGTTCACCTGCTTTTCTGTCTTTTACGTTTTAGACTTTTGGACCAACCACAGGAGATGTCACGATCTCAAACTCTCGCTTGACTATTCTTAGCTAATATCAAAGGCTATGATAACTTTTTGTCAACTCTTATGGACTATCATCCTAGCCTGGGACGGGCGTTGGCTACTCTTAATGACCCATACAATCTATAATGATAAAATTTGAACGAAAAGAAAATTAAAGTGGCATTATAAACCGAGATATGAAAAATGCCTACGGTCCCTTTTAAGACTTGAGACGTTATGTAAGCCAAAACAGCCGCTGTAATACCTTGGTATCAAAATGGGTTGATATTTGAAGCTTAGAAACTGAAAATATGTTCACTTTGAATGATCTGTATCATACTATACACGAAGAAAGCTGATAGTGTTTTGTCACCTTTTCTGCAGAGTGTCCAGTACTGAATAAGCCTAGAAATGGGACGATATATTGTCGAAAGGTTTCCGGTAAACTGCTGTGTATCATATCCTGCGATGAAGGTTATTCGTTCAGTGCGAAGGCAGTGACTATATATGGCTGTGGTCCTGATACAAACTGGAAATGGAATGGCGTGGAGAAGCCAGTATTGTCAAAATGTTCAAGTACGTATGATCTTCTAAAGTGTAAAAAGGATACATTCCTTCCCCGCTCAAAAGGTGTCCAGTTTCCGCCCGAAATAAAAAAAAGATATTATGCCAATAACCGAATGCATAATGTTATTTTATCGAAAGGCATCTGCCATGTCTTATCCGTTTGCGGGTTGTGCTCTAATCTGGCAACCATGGAAGTCTCCTGTCCAATGAAAAATAGGCGCGTTTCACAGTTAAGTACAAAAGGCTGGCTATCTCGTAGACTTGGACTCCTTCTACTATTGCTATTTTCTTTACTGATACGGAAGCCTTGCGCGTGATAATTTAAAACCAAACAATACGCCTCTCTAGCGCTAATTTCCTTTTACCGGTATTTCAAAACCATCCTCGGATTACTATTCTATGCCCAACTGGTAGGCTACATTTCCTGACTTCTTACACGCTGTTGTTTTTGGCATTGAGAGCTAGAGAATATTGCGTAAAAATAGTGAGTCAAAGCCTCCAAATCGTACAATTAAGCCTTTGAATCCTCGAGAAAGTTTCAAGACGGGCAAAGCTCGCTCTGGACATGACATTCTAACCTTATAAGAATTTTTCTGTGAATCAACTCATTTTGCCGGATTAAGGATGGCTTTCTTATCGAGTGAATGGTTTATTGATTGAAGAAATATGTTCAGTTTCTTATAATATTAGCAGCGAGAACATGATATTTCGTAATGGTCTTGAGGTCAGAAACTTTGACCACAACGTTAAATTGTTTAGTTTGACAAGCTTAGGCATCACATTGCAAGTGTCTCATTTTCTTTTAGACCTAACTAATAGAATGCAATCAGTTCCCTAGGCAATTTACTCTTCGGAGTTTTGAATCCTTATATTACTCTTCTTTTCATTCTCGTACAGGCAAGGCTGCCCCCAAACAGATAGAACTTCACTTCTCGATTAAATTTCCTGGTTTGCAATGTAACATCCTCCGAAGTCTCGCAAAGCTGTACGCTGCAGTCGAGAAGGTAATCAGAGACATGCTTTTAGCAGTGCAAGGATGCCATGCATGCAAACTAAAAGACGTAGCAACTCCCGGATGTGATTCGTTAGCCAATACAAAGAAGAGAAGAGCGATAGATCCGGCGATGGAAGTTCTCTTCTCGCTGGTCGTAAATTCGTCTTCGCCAGGAGATGATGTTGAAGAGAGGAGCGAAGCAGTCTTGTTTCAGGTACAGTACGCCGTCGCTACAGGGCAGTTTCAGATAAGTCTGAATGGAACGAACAGTACTGCTGATAGATCGTCATTGCAACATCTCTTCTCCAATGTCACTTGTGCAGCTGGCTCTGTTACGAGCGCTGATCGAAAGGGATGTGGTAAGTATTGTTTATTTTTAAATTTTTACTCCGGATACGGTCGGACCATCTTGCGACTGATTACCTTCCTTAGTGAGAGAAGAACAGATTTTATTGAAAATATAAGAATCATAAAAGCTCAATTTACTTAGATTTCCAGTCCCAGATTCATGATCAAAGATCCGACACGGCTAAGCGTTCTCCTAGACGTCAAGCCATAATGGTGCCTACACACGACAAACACTTCCCTTAGTTCAGAGTTTCAAACAGCAAACCAGCAAAACTATTTTAGGAGCGTCCATCTTTGCGGTCAATATTAAAAAAATATCGACCGCTTGTCATCATAATTTTGTTCAACGTTCAGTTTGTCGGTATAATGATATCCTTGCATACGGCTGGCGCTCCTGAAATTTGAATTGACCAATCAGGAGTCAGCAGGCGGGAAAAATTTACTGTCCTGACGTCATTGTGAGTTAACAGGAAGGGCATTGAAATCAGGCAAATTTTCTCACTGGGTATGGCATTAAATAGTCAAGGAAAGGGATTTACAATTCCAAAAACCTTATTAGATTGTAAAGTGAAAAATATGAAACATTTTGTGTCACCAAGCTTCTAATTTGGTGCCAAAAATGGGTTGCCGGCGTCCGGCATGGCAACTCGCTCGTAATTCTTTGATTGTCGCCAGGTAGAATAACAGCTCTGTTATTTTATACAAAATGTGCTGTTCCTCGTCAAATTAAACCCGGAATTGTCAAGTTAACTATAAGAAGAGGCCAAAGCAACTTTAGCATTGTTTTTATTTTTGCTATAGCTAGCTTCGAAGGAAAAGGCCATTATCGTGCCGTTTCGATGACCGTTTCGGTAGGACAGCTCAGGTTTGATTGCCGCTCGTACTACGGGCGCAACCGCCGTATGCAAGGATATTATATGGCGCACATTTTTGTACGTGCCCCACCGGGAAAATATTCCGAAGCTGGCTGTCAGGGCGGACATCAGTGAGGGCCTCTGTGAGGACGTCAGTGAGGGGTCCGTGAGGGCGTCAACGAGGGAGAAAGGCGGTACTCTTGGACTTCTCTCTGCGTATTTTAACACGTAACCTGTCTCTCTTCAATTCAGTGACTTGTCCCGTTGGAACATCATATGATAAAACCAGTTCAAAATGTGTATTGTGTGGTAAAGGCAGTTACCAAGACAAGGAAGGCCAGGCCAGTTGTATAGAATGCGATGAAGGAAAGTCGACCAATAACTTGGGAGGCGCGTCCAGTGAGGAATGTGTCAAGGGTTAGTACATGTACATATCGAAACTATATAGGGCAGATAAATAATTTCCTTTGAAAGGTCCTCAAAACCATGAGTTGAACGCAAGGCAAACGAAATAAAAAAGGGCCTAACGTCGTGGAAGATTAAAACCATTTTTCTCCATGCGTCCAAAGATCTGTAGCTTAATTTTTGAAAGGAGCTGTTGCGATGTTTTAAGTCGTCTTTGTAATGTACAGGAAATTAAGAAACGCCAAATAGCTAGATTATTATAATCCAAAGGGAAGGTCAAAAAACCGAGAACGATAATCATGAATTACGAAAAATAAAGTTGAACAATAAGAAGTAATTTACAGGTTCGTTAAAATTACGAATAATGTCAAAGGTACGAGGAATTGTTTTCTTTATTTCGCCAGCAGGCGTTTTGTCCAACAAAGTCCCGAGAGAGGGAAAGAATACCGCTGTCTACATAACAGTATCGTTTATCGCAGTGATTGCAATGATAGGCATAGTAGCTACAGCTGCCTACTGCAGGTATGTAAATGAACCTTTATGACAATTAATCTAATTCTGAGTAAATTAATCAAAGGTAGGATTTTCATCGATCGTCATGTGTCATTCTGTCTGTAAACTAACAATTCCCTCTGTCGTCACCTTCAAAAACCTTCAGAAATTCAATATATAGACTTAGCCAAGTCTAAAAGCGGAGCTCCTGGGCTAGGTTGTTCAAAGCCCGGTTAAGATAACCCAGGTTAAGCGAGAATTTTGATTTTAGTTTTGTAACTTTGCAGTGAGGCTTTCTGTATATTGTTTGGCCTTCTGTTTTGAGTTTGAATAATCTCAAAATACACGGACCAAAACATTTGTATACAATAAATATTTATACTTCTGTTAAGTTTTAATGCTGGGTTAGCATTAACCGGCTTCCGAACAACAGGTGCCGTTTACAACAAGTAAACCTAACATGAGCCCGCAATCCAATGATAATAATAATTTAAAAAAAAACAGCTTATGGTCAACTGTGAACTTAAAAATAACACGTTACCTCGACGGGCTCAAACTTGAGCCCGCGATATGGTCACGTAATACTGGTCAACAGATACCTTGTTTTAAAAGGTGACTATTGACCACAACATGGATGTCCAATATCAAAGAAGGAGGCTATAAATCAAGACTGCNAAAAAAAAAAAAAAAAAAAAAACCTAAGCGTCCACAAGGTAGAGTTTGTGCATTTGTGGCTTCATTTAGCACTGTATCTTAGACGCTAAAAGACCGATAAACTAATTTTCACATAGTTTCCATGTTTCTAGTTAAACAGGAAGACTTAATTGTTTTGTCAACATTATGAACTCTTTCTTTGCAGTTCTTGGCAGCAACTTCGATCTTATTTTTAAACATAAGACCGCAGACGACATGGTTTTTACTCTCAGACGGTAAAAGTATTCCAAACATGAGATATTTCACCATCGCTATGTTTGTGCGAGCAGATTCCAGATACAAATCAGGCACACTGTTTAGCTATAGCGTTGCTGGGCAACCACAATCAGATGACGTCATTGTACTATCCTTTACTGAGTCTCAAGTTCATCTGGAGATTAAAGATGAGGTAGTTACAGCCGATTACAAGTTGGCAGACGACCACTGGCATTACTTGGGGGTCGTGTGGAACGGAACCACCGGAAGTGTTTCGGTGTACATCGACAGAGATGAAGTGAAAAACGCGAGAAAAGTCAAAATCGGAGAAATTATCACTGGAGGTGGGTGGATTGTACTTGGGCAACGTTATCTCGCGGGAGAGCAGACGACATCCATTTCGACAGCCTTTGGTGGCACGTTACATCAAGTGAGCCTTTGGGATGTGCCAGCAACTTCTGACCACATGTGGAACGCGGCGCATAACTGCACGTGGCCCATTGCAGGAAGTGTGCGAGCATGGAGCAGCTTTCTACCAGGAATCAAAGGACAAGTAGAAAAGAGGTTCATGACGCAATGCAAAGGTATTTGTCATTATAGTAAATTGTAATGCCACTTGGCATCTGTTATAAATCATGTAGTTTACGCAAGCTCATCCGAATTAAAGCAATTCCAAACTTACGGAAAAAGAAAGCTAATTACGGTAGTATAGCCACCCCATAGAGCCTTAATTGTGCCACAGTTTGTTTTGCTTGCTAGCAGACCAGCTTTTCCGTGATAGTGTTCTTTGTTATGTTCTACAAGACAATATAACGTTTTCATGGGGTCAAGAAAGTGTGATATTATAGGAGATAAATAAAGAGCAGAGTTCGCCAAGTTTAAGGTGTGTGCGTTGTCCCAAAGTTGAAATATTCGTCGAAATGTTCCGCGTAAATTTACAGCGCTCAGTTGTATGGAGCCGCCATGTCGGTGTTCCTCTGTGGTACACCAGTATGGCGGCCGGAAAATAGTGTTAACATCTGGAACTTACCTTGTAGGATGCTGATTAACTGCACTGAACAAGCAGACATTTAAATAAGCACTTTTCCGAATACTTTAACGTCTTAAATGGCTAAAAATCACGAGATAAATACATATTTTTCGATAAACGCGATCGTAGCTTTATGTCACGCACCGCCATAACTCTGAAATTCAAAATGGGCTGGTATCCAGGCGAAGGACACTATTGAGCTGGAAAGTTGTAAACAGATATAAAATTACTACTTCTTAGGCCTGGTGAAGATAAAAACTTTGGTGGCTCTTTATTTATGGGTTTAAGAATTTGATGACGTCACGTGAAAACGCTTTATATCAACTTTCAGCCTGAAGATGAGACCCGAGTACGAGACTATTATAATGACGACTATTTAGCAGCACTATTTGAACTCTAATAAGAAACCTGACTCTAGCTTTTCATTCAAAGAAAACTGCCCATCTGACCAGGAAGTATTTTGCAGTGCCTGACTGCTTTTAAAATATGGTACGAAACTTCATTATTGCAATAGTGGGATATATATATATTTTTTCACTGTTTTATTTGCAGCTTTGGACATGTGTACAACTAACTGCTCGCACTTCCTTCACTGCGAGTCTCGCCAGGGACTTTACCACTGTAAATGCCAAGCCGGATTCTCAGGTCCTCACTGTGACATCAATATCGACGAGTGCAGTTCAAATCCCTGTATTAATGGCACGTGTGTAGATGGTATCAACCGATATGACTGCCAGTGCAACAAAGGTTATTGGGGAACCAACTGTGAGAAGAAGATCATCAACGGAAAAGGTTAAAGGGTCATAAAGCTATAAGTCTTGAATCGCTCAGTTTAACACTACTTAGAGGAATACCACGAATACGTTATGTTAAGAAAATAGCAACACTGAAATCGGTACTCTCTATCGGTGACCAGAGTACGTTTTCCGTACCATACTTCACTCCCCGTGTGCTTTTTAAGAATTTGTTCGCCATTACCAACACTGGCTTTGGCCTGGCCATTCTTTTTCAGAAGTGAGGGTGTTTTAGCAGCTTCAGTGTCTTTTGCGTTCACCTGCTTTTCTGTCTTTTACGTTTTAGACTTTTGGACCAACCACAGGAGATGTCACGATCTCAAACTCTCGCTTGACTATTCTTAGCTAATATCAAAGGCTATGATAACTTTTTGTCAACTCTTATGGACTATCATCCTAGCCTGGGACGGGCGTTGGCTACTCTTAATGACCCATACAATCTATAATGATAAAATTTGAACGAAAAGAAAATTAAAGTGGCATTATAAACCGAGATATGAAAAATGCCTACGGTCCCTTTTAAGACTTGAGACGTTATGTAAGCCAAAACAGCCGCTGTAATACCTTGGTATCAAAATGGGTTGATATTTGAAGCTTAGAAACTGAAAATATGTTCACTTTGAATGATCTGTATCATACTATACACGAAGAAAGCTGATAGTGTTTTGTCACCTTTTCTGCAGAGTGTCCAGTACTGAATAAGCCTAGAAATGGGACGATATATTGTCGAAAGGTTTCCGGTAAACTGCTGTGTATCATATCCTGCGATGAAGGTTATTCGTTCAGTGCGAAGGCAGTGACTATATATGGCTGTGGTCCTGATACAAACTGGAAATGGAATGGCGTGGAGAAGCCAGTATTGTCAAAATGTTCAAGTACGTATGATCTTCTAAAGTGTAAAAAGGATACATTCCTTCCCCGCTCAAAAGGTGTCCAGTTTCCGCCCGAAATAAAAAAAAGATATTATGCCAATAACCGAATGCATAATGTTATTTTATCGAAAGGCATCTGCCATGTCTTATCCGTTTGCGGGTTGTGCTCTAATCTGGCAACCATGGAAGTCTCCTGTCCAATGAAAAATANTTACGAGCGCTGATCGAAAGGGATGTGGTAAGTATTGTTTATTTTTAAATTTTTACTCCGGATACGGTCGGACCATCTTGCGACTGATTACCTTCCTTAGTGAGAGAAGAACAGATTTTATTGAAAATATAAGAATCATAAAAGCTCAATTTACTTAGATTTCCAGTCCCAGATTCATGATCAAAGATCCGACACGGCTAAGCGTTCTCCTAGACGTCAAGCCATAATGGTGCCTACACACGACAAACACTTCCCTTAGTTCAGAGTTTCAAACAGCAAACCAGCAAAACTATTTTAGGAGCGTCCATCTTTGCGGTCAATATTAAAAAAATATCGACCGCTTGTCATCATAATTTTGTTCAACGTTCAGTTTGTCGGTATAATGATATCCTTGCATACGGCTGGCGCTCCTGAAATTTGAATTGACCAATCAGGAGTCAGCAGGCGGGAAAAATTTACTGTCCTGACGTCATTGTGAGTTAACAGGAAGGGCATTGAAATCAGGCAAATTTTCTCACTGGGTATGGCATTAAATAGTCAAGGAAAGGGATTTACAATTCCAAAAACCTTATTAGATTGTAAAGTGAAAAATATGAAACATTTTGTGTCACCAAGCTTCTAATTTGGTGCCAAAAATGTGTTGCCGGCGTCCGGCATGGCAACTCGCTCGTAATTCTTTGATTGTCGCCAGGTAGAATAACAGCTCTGTTATTTTATACAAAATGTGCGGTTCCTCGTCAAATTAAACCCGGAATTGTCAAGTTAACTATAAGAAGAAGCCAAAGCAACTTTAGCATTGTTTTTATTTTTGCTATAGCTTGTTTCGAAGGAAAAGGCCATTATCGTGTCGTTTCGATGACCGTTTCGGTAGGACAGCTCAGGTTTGATTGCCGCTCGTACTGCGGGCGCAACCGCCGTATGCAAGGATATTATATGGCGCACATTTTTGTACGTGCCCCACCGGGAAAATATTCCGAAGCTGGCTGTCAGGGCGGACATCAGTGAGGGCCTCTGTGAGGACGTCAGTGAGGGGTCCGTGAGGGCGTCAACGAGGGAGAAAGGCGGTACTCTTGGACTTCTCTCTGCGTATTTTAACACGTAACCTGTCTCTCTTCAATTCAGTGACTTGTCCCGTTGGAACATCATATGATAAAACCAGTTCAAAATGTGTATTGTGTGGTAAAGGCAGTTACCAAGACAAGGAAGGCCAGGCCAGTTGTATAGAATGCGATGAAGGAAAGTCGACCAATAACTTGGGAGGCGCGTCCAGTGAGGAATGTGTCAAGGGTTAGTACATGTACATATCGAAACTATATAGGGCAGATAAATAATTTCCTTTGAAAGGTCCTCAAAACCATGAGTTGAACGCAAGGCAAACGAAATAAAAAAGGGCCTAACGTCGTGGAAGATTAAAACCATTTTTCTCCATGCGTCCAAAGATCTGTAGCTTAATTTTTGAAAGGAGCTGTTGCGATGTTTTAAGTCGTCTTTGTAATGTACAGGAAATTAAGAAACGCCAAATAGCTAGATTATTATAATCCAAAGGGAAGGTCAAAAAACCGAGAACGATAATCATGAATTACGAAAAATAAAGTTGAACAATAAGAAGTAATTTACAGGTTCGTTAAAATTACGAATAATGTCAAAGGTACGAGGAATTGTTTTCTTTATTTCGCCAGCAGGCGTTTTGTCCAACAAAGTCCCGAGAGAGGGAAAGAATACCGCTGTCTACATAACAGTATCGTTTATCGCAGTGATTGCAATGATAGGCATAGTAGCTACAGCTGCCTACTGCAGGTATGTAAATGAACCTTTATGACAATTAATCTAATTCTGAGTAAATTAATCAAAGGTAGGATTTTCATCGATCGTCATGTGTCATTCTGTCTGTAAACTAACAATTCCCTCTGTCGTCACCTTCAAAAACCTTCAGAAATTCAATATATAGACTTAGCCAAGTCTAAAAGCGGAGCTCCTGGGCTAGGTTGTTCAAAGCCCGGTTAAGATAACCCAGGTTAAGCGAGAATTTTGATTTTAGTTTTGTAACTTTGCAGTGAGGCTTTCTGTATATTGTTTGGCCTTCTGTTTTGAGTTTGAATAATCTCAAAATACACGGACCAAAACATTTGTATACAATAAATATTTATACTTCTGTTAAGTTTTAATGCTGGGTTAGCATTAACCGGCTTCCGAACAACAGGTGCCGTTTACAACAAGTAAACCTAACATGAGCCCGCAATCCAATGATAATAATAATTTTAAAAAAAAACAGCTTATGGTCAACTGTGAACTTAAAAATAACACGTTACCTCGACGGGCTCAAACTTGAGCCCGCGATATGGTCACGTAATACTGGTCAACAGATACCTTGTTTTAAAAGGTGACTATTGACCACAACATGGATGTCCAATATCAAAGAAGGAGGCTATAAATCAAGACTGCATGTCTCTGTTAACCTTTTAGCTAGAGTATGTCCGCCATCTTGCGCGACACCGATCGTCGTCGTCGTCGTCGTTCGTACGCGCCCACGAGCAATACCGCTAGCCATGATAACCACGAGAAAATCAATTCGTGGGTTTTCTTTTCTTTCCTATATGGGTGTGGGGCTCGGCTTGGCGGCCCTTCGGGCGGCCGGAGATCCGCTATCACACTCTTGACCAGAGCTCGCTTACTAGCTAGAGCACGGCAAATCATTTCGAATGCCTACAGGACGATAGACGTTAAAACATATGTGACTGCTTTTGAGATCGAGCAAATTCATGGGAAGAAGAGAAAAACCCATACCACACCATTACCACCTTTTGTTAACTTTGAATCTACACACATCGCTGATTTTTTTTCCCCTTCTACATTATAGGTACCGCCGGTTTTGCTGCGTTGCAAAGAACAAGGTTGGTCAAAGCAACCCTAGTCTCGAAAAATATCATGTTGCAATGGAAAAGAGAGAAGCCTTGCAGCAGATGAACACAGAGAGCTGCGGCTTTAACGACTCTGTATATTCGGAAATGCCTGAGAAGAGGCTGAACAATTTCATAAACTGTGATGCTGTTGCTGGTGACAAACTCAATACTGCTAATGTAACATCGCCCGCTCTCTATGCAAATGACAACGATTTAGATTCTCTTTTCGAAAACCCTGTCGCTCATGATCAGTCGCAGGAGTCAAAGGTTTAAATCGACAGAAGCATGTAGTGACGAAGGCCATAACCCGGAACGTGTTTAAACCTTGCGTTATTTTTTGCTCTTCTTCTTCTTCTTCTTCTTCTTCTTTTTTTTTCCCGCGGAAATTAAATATTACTGTTTAATATTGTACTCAGCTTAACTGAGAAATCCTTTTCGTGACATGTTTACGTACTCGTTTGAAAATAGAGAGTGAAAGATCAGAGTGAGTCGCAATGTTCGAGGTTTGTTCGTCAGTGTAAGTCGAAAAGCCGATTTAGATCGAGATAAACAGTTGGATTGTCCGTGCATCTAAATCGGTTAGATGAATCAAAGGAAAGTTCATTTGCTAAGACTTCTTTTATTTAAGTAGATAACCTTTAAATTACTGATAAGTCGATTAGCTGAATAACAAAACGTGTGGCCAGGAGACCATAACCCAGGGCGTGTTTGCAGCTTGCGTTATTTGAAGAAACTTTTTTTTTTTGATCGACCTTTCTGTTTCGTGTCGTTCGTATCAAAGCAGTCGAACGCCATTTTAAAGCCAACTGATAACTTTTATTATAGCTATTGAGGAAAGCTTCTCTTTTGACACATCACTCGACCTGGTGTCGAGGCTATAGAACAATACCTATTGTCACACTTTCTTTAATCGCGGACGTTAAATATTACCATTAAGTAGTGCACTCAGCTAAACTGAGAAACGCTGTTTGCCATGAAATTACGTATTTGCTTGAGAAAAGAGAGTGAAAGATCAGGGTAAGTCACAATGTTCGAAATATGTTCGTTTGTGTCCGTCGGAAAGTGAGCTAGATATAGATTTACAGTTGGATTATTCATGCACTTAAATCGTTTAGATGAAGCGAAGGAAAGTTTATTTTTTAAGACTTCTTTAAGTAAGTAACTTTAAAATTAACGATGGCGTAACAAATGGGAGAAAAAAGCAAAAAAAAAAAGCGAACGTGGAAGGGGTGAAGCCCGATCTCGAAATTTGTCGCCATATTGAAAGGCGATGGCGACAAAATTGGGATAAAGTTGAACGCGCTCCCCCCAAAAAAGCACCCAGATTAGAGATGACGTAGAAGTTGAAATGTTGAGGATATTGCCACATTAAAACGGCTTACACTATGCTAATACAATATGTAATAAATAGCTCCAAATATGGTCGAGTCGCTATGTACTGCCTTAATAATATTTTCCTAGAAGAGCTTTACAGCATTTCCATTCACCTGGCCAGCAGCCAACGCAAATATATTGGAACAATCGAGAGAAAGTGTTTAGATAAGGAAAAAAAGTTTAACTCGATCCCCCGCAGGATTGGTTTGGAACACGGAAATAGCCACTGTTTCATTGTTTTGGGACACTAATATGGCTGCCGAGACGTCTTGTGAAAACACTCTATTGACGACCATAAGAGAAGAGAACTAATTAATCATCCACCTGTAATTACTTCGTATTAGCACATTTACTGTACTGTAGCATTTATGGAAANCTGATACGGAAGCCTTGCGCGTGATAATTTAAAACCAAACAATACGCCTCTCTAGCGCTAATTTCCTTTTACCGGTATTTCAAAACCATCCTCGGATTACTATTCTATGCCCAACTGGTAGGCTACATTTCCTGACTTCTTACACGCTGTTGTTTTTGGCATTGAGAGCTAGAGAATATTGCGTAAAAATAGTGAGTCAAAGCCTCCAAATCGTACAATTAAGCCTTTGAATCCTCGAGAAAGTTTCAAGACGGGCAAAGCTCGCTCTGGACATGACATTCTAACCTTATAAGAATTTTTCTGTGAATCAACTCATTTTGCCGGATTAAGGATGGCTTTCTTATCGAGTGAATGGTTTATTGATTGAAGAAATATGTTCAGTTTCTTATAATATTAGCAGCGAGAACATGATATTTCGTAATGGTCTTGAGGTCAGAAACTTTGACCACAACGTTAAATTGTTTAGTTTGACAAGCTTAGGCATCACATTGCAAGTGTCTCATTTTCTTTTAGACCTAACTAATAGAATGCAATCAGTTCCCTAGGCAATTTACTCTTCGGAGTTTTGAATCCTTATATTACTCTTCTTTTCATTCTCGTACAGGCAAGGCTGCCCCCAAACAGATAGAACTTCACTTCTCGATTAAATTTCCTGGTTTGCAATGTAACATCCTCCGAAGTCTCGCAAAGCTGTACGCTGCAGTCGAGAAGGTAATCAGAGACATGCTTTTAGCAGTGCAAGGATGCCATGCATGCAAACTAAAAGACGTAGCAACTCCCGGATGTGATTCGTTAGCCAATACAAAGAAGAGAAGAGCGATAGATCCGGCGATGGAAGTTCTCTTCTCGCTGGTCGTAAATTCGTCTTCGCCAGGAGATGATGTTGAAGAGAGGAGCGAAGCAGTCTTGTTTCAGGTACAGTACGCCGTCGCTACAGGGCAGTTTCAGATAAGTCTGAATGGAACGAACAGTACTGCTGATAGATCGTCATTGCAACATCTCTTCTCCAATGTCACTTGTGCAGCTGGCTCTGTTACGAGCGCTGATCGAAAGGGATGTGGTAAGTATTGTTTATTTTTAAATTTTTACTCCGGATACGGTCGGACCATCTTGCGACTGATTACCTTCCTTAGTGAGAGAAGAACAGATTTTATTGAAAATATAAGAATCATAAAAGCTCAATTTACTTAGATTTCCAGTCCCAGATTCATGATCAAAGATCCGACACGGCTAAGCGTTCTCCTAGACGTCAAGCCATAATGGTGCCTACACACGACAAACACTTCCCTTAGTTCAGAGTTTCAAACAGCAAACCAGCAAAACTATTTTAGGAGCGTCCATCTTTGCGGTCAATATTAAAAAAATATCGACCGCTTGTCATCATAATTTTGTTCAACGTTCAGTTTGTCGGTATAATGATATCCTTGCATACGGCTGGCGCTCCTGAAATTTGAATTGACCAATCAGGAGTCAGCAGGCGGGAAAAATTTACTGTCCTGACGTCATTGTGAGTTAACAGGAAGGGCATTGAAATCAGGCAAATTTTCTCACTGGGTATGGCATTAAATAGTCAAGGAAAGGGATTTACAATTCCAAAAACCTTATTAGATTGTAAAGTGAAAAATATGAAACATTTTGTGTCACCAAGCTTCTAATTTGGTGCCAAAAATGGGTTGCCGGCGTCCGGCATGGCAACTCGCTCGTAATTCTTTGATTGTCGCCAGGTAGAATAACAGCTCTGTTATTTTATACAAAATGTGCTGTTCCTCGTCAAATTAAACCCGGAATTGTCAAGTTAACTATAAGAAGAGGCCAAAGCAACTTTAGCATTGTTTTTATTTTTGCTATAGCTAGCTTCGAAGGAAAAGGCCATTATCGTGCCGTTTCGATGACCGTTTCGGTAGGACAGCTCAGGTTTGATTGCCGCTCGTACTACGGGCGCAACCGCCGTATGCAAGGATATTATATGGCGCACATTTTTGTACGTGCCCCACCGGGAAAATATTCCGAAGCTGGCTGTCAGGGCGGACATCAGTGAGGGCCTCTGTGAGGACGTCAGTGAGGGGTCCGTGAGGGCGTCAACGAGGGAGAAAGGCGGTACTCTTGGACTTCTCTCTGCGTATTTTAACACGTAACCTGTCTCTCTTCAATTCAGTGACTTGTCCCGTTGGAACATCATATGATAAAACCAGTTCAAAATGTGTATTGTGTGGTAAAGGCAGTTACCAAGACAAGGAAGGCCAGGCCAGTTGTATAGAATGCGATGAAGGAAAGTCGACCAATAACTTGGGAGGCGCGTCCAGTGAGGAATGTGTCAAGGGTTAGTACATGTACATATCGAAACTATATAGGGCAGATAAATAATTTCCTTTGAAAGGTCCTCAAAACCATGAGTTGAACGCAAGGCAAACGAAATAAAAAAGGGCCTAACGTCGTGGAAGATTAAAACCATTTTTCTCCATGCGTCCAAAGATCTGTAGCTTAATTTTTGAAAGGAGCTGTTGCGATGTTTTAAGTCGTCTTTGTAATGTACAGGAAATTAAGAAACGCCAAATAGCTAGATTATTATAATCCAAAGGGAAGGTCAAAAAACCGAGAACGATAATCATGAATTACGAAAAATAAAGTTGAACAATAAGAAGTAATTTACAGGTTCGTTAAAATTACGAATAATGTCAAAGGTACGAGGAATTGTTTTCTTTATTTCGCCAGCAGGCGTTTTGTCCAACAAAGTCCCGAGAGAGGGAAAGAATACCGCTGTCTACATAACAGTATCGTTTATCGCAGTGATTGCAATGATAGGCATAGTAGCTACAGCTGCCTACTGCAGGTATGTAAATGAACCTTTATGACAATTAATCTAATTCTGAGTAAATTAATCAAAGGTAGGATTTTCATCGATCGTCATGTGTCATTCTGTCTGTAAACTAACAATTCCCTCTGTCGTCACCTTCAAAAACCTTCAGAAATTCAATATATAGACTTAGCCAAGTCTAAAAGCGGAGCTCCTGGGCTAGGTTGTTCAAAGCCCGGTTAAGATAACCCAGGTTAAGCGAGAATTTTGATTTTAGTTTTGTAACTTTGCAGTGAGGCTTTCTGTATATTGTTTGGCCTTCTGTTTTGAGTTTGAATAATCTCAAAATACACGGACCAAAACATTTGTATACAATAAATATTTATACTTCTGTTAAGTTTTAATGCTGGGTTAGCATTAACCGGCTTCCGAACAACAGGTGCCGTTTACAACAAGTAAACCTAACATGAGCCCGCAATCCAATGATAATAATAATTTAAAAAAAAACAGCTTATGGTCAACTGTGAACTTAAAAATAACACGTTACCTCGACGGGCTCAAACTTGAGCCCGCGATATGGTCACGTAATACTGGTCAACAGATACCTTGTTTTAAAAGGTGACTATTGACCACAACATGGATGTCCAATATCAAAGAAGGAGGCTATAAATCAAGACTGCATGTCTCTGTTAACCTTTTAGCTAGAGTATGTCCGCCATCTTGCGCGACACCGATCGTCGTCGTCGTCGTCGTTCGTACGCGCCCACGAGCAATACCGCTAGCCATGATAACCACGAGAAAATCAATTCGTGGGTTTTCTTTTCTTTCCTATATGGGTGTGGGGCTCGGCTTGGCGGCCCTTCGGGCGGCCGGAGATCCGCTATCACACTCTTGACCAGAGCTCGCTTACTAGCTAGAGCACGGCAAATCATTTCGAATGCCTACAGGACGATAGACGTTAAAACATATGTGACTGCTTTTGAGATCGAGCAAATTCATGGGAAGAAGAGAAAAACCCATACCACACCATTACCACCTTTTGTTAACTTTGAATCTACACACATCGCTGATTTTTTTTCCCCTTCTACATTATAGGTACCGCCGGTTTTGCTGCGTTGCAAAGAACAAGGTTGGTCAAAGCAACCCTAGTCTCGAAAAATATCACGTTGCAATGGAAAAGAGAGAAGCCTTGCAGCAGATGAACACAGAGAGCTGCGGCGTTAACGACTCTGTATATTCGGAAATGCCTGAGAAGAGGCTGAACAATTTCATAAACTGTGATGCTGTTGCTGGTGACAAACTCAATACTGCTAATGTAACATCGCCCGCTCTCTATGCAAATGACAACGATTTAGATTCTCTTTTCGAAAACCCTGTCGCTCATGATCAGTCGCAGGAGTCAAAGGTTTAAATCGACAGAAGCATGTAGTGACGAAGGCCATAACCCGGAACGTGTTTAAACCTTGCGTTATTTTTTGCTCTTCTTCTTCTTCTTCTTCTTCTTCTTTTTTTTTCCCGCGGAAATTAAATATTACTGTTTAATATTGTACTCAGCTTAACTGAGAAATCCTTTTCGTGACATGTTTACGTACTCGTTTGAAAATAGAGAGTGAAAGATCAGAGTGAGTCGCAATGTTCGAGGTTTGTTCGTCAGTGTAAGTCGAAAAGCCGATTTAGATCGAGATAAACAGTTGGATTGTCCGTGCATCTAAATCGGTTAGATGAATCAAAGGAAAGTTCATTTGCTAAGACTTCTTTTATTTAAGTAGATAACCTTTAAATTACTGATAAGTCGATTAGCTGAATAACAAAACGTGTGGCCAGGAGACCATAACCCAGGGCGTGTTTGCAGCTTGCGTTATTTGAAGAAACTTTTTTTTTTTGATCGACCTTTCTGTTTCGTGTCGTTCGTATCAAAGCAGTCGAACGCCATTTTAAAGCCAACTGATAACTTTTATTATAGCTATTGAGGAAAGCTTCTCTTTTGACACATCACTCGACCTGGTGTCGAGGCTATAGAACAATACCTATTGTCACACTTTCTTTAATCGCGGACGTTAAATATTACCATTAAGTAGTGCACTCAGCTAAACTGAGAAACGCTGTTTGCCATGAAATTACGTATTTGCTTGAGAAAAGAGAGTGAAAGATCAGGGTAAGTCACAATGTTCGAAATATGTTCGTTTGTGTCCGTCGGAAAGTGAGCTAGATATAGATTTACAGTTGGATTATTCATGCACTTAAATCGTTTAGATGAAGCGAAGGAAAGTTTATTTTTTAAGACTTCTTTAAGTAAGTAACTTTAAAATTAACGATGGCGTAACAAATGGGAGAGAAATTTAGCAAAAAATAAGCGAACGTGGAAGGAGTGAAGCCCGATCTCGAAATTTGTCGCCATATTGAAAGGCGATGGCGACAAAATGGGGATAAAGTTGAACGCGCTCCCCCCCAAAAAACACCCCGATTAGAGATGACGTAGAAGTTGAAATGTTGAGTATATTGCCACATTAAAACGGCTTACACTATGCTAATACAATATGTAATAAATAGCTCCAAATATGGTCGAGTCGCTATGTACTGCCTTAATAATATTTTCCTAGAAGAGCTTTACAGCATTTCCATTCACCTGGCCAGCAGCCAACGCAAATATATTGGAACAATCGAGAGAAAGTGTTTAGATAAGGAAAAAAAGTTTAACTCGATCCCCCGCAGGATTGGTTTGGAACACGGAAATAGCCACTGTTTCATTGTTTTGGGACACTAATATGGCTGCCGAGACGTCTTGTGAAAACACTCTATTGACGACCATAAGAGAAGAGAACTAATTAATCATCCACCTGTAATTACTTCGTATTAGCACATTTACTGTACTGTAGCATTTATGGAAATAATAATAAATAACTTGCTCTACCAATTTGGATTATACTTGATTTATGACTCACAACAGTCGAAAATATAGATTCAAGTTTGTTTGTTTGTTTTGTTTTTGTTTTTGTTTTTTTTTCCAAGAATCTCGACCAGTAATGAATTGTTTTGTTATATAGCTTAGTATAAAGTAACGAGGCGAAAAGAATTAACCCTATTAGGATACCACCAGTAGATCCCGGACGTCTGGAAATTTCTGGAAAGCATTTTCAATTCCAAGCGAGAAAAGAACACTGAACCAAAGGAAGGTTAACTTAGTTTGATGTTTATTTTTAATATATATCTTATGTTCTGTAATGTTTGTGGGTCCTAATAAATATGAAAATGGATGAAAAAAATATAAAAATTCAAAGCAATCGACCACTGGTTAACCAATCCGACTGGACTACAAATAAACCAAAAAGAGCGGTCGTTAGATTAAACTTTACTCAAGATACATAACAATACAAAATATTTCGCTTTCTCTTCCCTTTTATTTTGAACTACAGGAGTATCTTACAACTTCTAACAGTCTCAATCGGCTCGAGTCTTCTAGGGGGAGCTATATTTGACTTTCTACATTTTACCAACCCACAGCATCAGCCCCCTCTTCCCATCCCGGTTAGTATGAAACACAGATTACGGACTGTAGACCACAGATTGGATATAAACCACTAGACCACGGATTGAGGACTTGATATATATATCACTGCTAGGACATACATAAATTAGGACAAAAATTATTTAGCAGACAAAATAAACCAACTCCTGCGATGTCATTGGCCACCCGAGCGAGCAAGATGAGGATATCTCTCCCACTGGGTATTTCCCTTAACACCAAACTTTACATTCACGCATAATGGTATTTGTGTCAAGCCATGACGGTCACATAATCGTTCTTAAGTCTGGTTTGTATCAAGTATCACCCCAGGAGATAGAGGGGGCGTTCCCTTGAGGATAAAAGATATTTTTCTCGAGTAATTCGTCCTTCTTCCCATGACCCTTGTACCGTCGGTATCTCGCAAGGAAAACATTTTGCCATATATACTTTCTCGACCAAGCCTGTTTGTTCAAGTTGGCTGGATATTGGCCTTGTTCTGTTTACATATTAATCATAACAATTACATTTTTTTTTAATGTGATTGAAGCATAAACAGTTGTATTTTGCTCTGATTAATCTGCAAAGTTGTAATCGGACAGTTGGCGGTACGGTTACATAAGCCAATTATTTCAAGTCCTCTCCACTAAATCCACTAATCACAACGTTGATTACAATCAATATAATGACCAATTCAAGAGACTTACTTTGTAGTATTGTGGAGGTTTAGTCTCCGGTCACTGTTCTGAAAGAAACTTAACAGCCAGTTTGTATGGTATTCTTCATACTTTAACTATGATAATTAAAAAAATGACTATTAAATGCTCTTTTTCAAATGAAACTTTTACTTTTGTGGGAAAGTGTAATGGTTATGATTAATTGGTAATAGGACATCGAGTCGCCCAATTCTGTCTGTAATCATACTCCTGATTAACAAATCGGACTCCCGCTTCACGGTCGTCCGATCTTGTTAATTCCACATTTGTATGATTACACACCGAATTGGACTCCACTCAGTCCTATTACCATTATTAATAGACCTCGACCATAAACACGCTTAAATGAGTATTTGGACGAAAGGTCGTCCTGAAGAGTGTCCAGCATCCTACTTATCAAACGTGCGATCTCATTGATAAATAGTTTTAGAATATAGGATATTATGCGGAAGAACAATTTTGGCATACCTGCAAGGTTCGTTATAAAACTTCTTTATTGGTATTCAAAGTAACGACGTGCAGGAGAACATAAGTTTTAAATCCCTACTCCTATTGAACTCAGTTCTGTTGGCTTATATCTATGAACTAGATCAAGGTTTAAGAGTTTTAAGATACACAATACCAAGTAACTTAAGTAACAGTGCCCATATTAAGAGTCCTTGTCAGTTTAGAAAAAGCGTTTCATGAAATGGGTCTAACAATCGAGATGGTTTAAAGAACACAAGCAAGCAAACAAACAAAGAAGCAAACAATCAAACGAAGCTTAAATTCAAGTGACAGTCTCAATCCTCCGTCCTGTTTAATGACGCTATCATTCTTTGAGAGGTGGTGTGAATTCTTAGCTTTTTTTTTTAATGGATCGTCTTGATTGAGTCAAGACATGCACGTACGTTAGGATAATGAGTNGTCGTCCTGAAGAGTGTCCGGCATCCTACTTATCAAACGTGCGATCTCACTGATAAATAGTTTTAGAATATAGGATATTATGCGGAAGAAAAATTTTGACATACCTGCAAGGTTCGTTATAAAATTTCTTTATTGGTATTCAAAGTAACAACGTACAGGAGAACATAAGTTTTAAATCCCTACTCCTATTGAACTCAGTTCTATTGGCTTATACCTTTGAACTAGATCAAGGATTAAGAGTTTTAAGATACACAATGCCAAATAACTTAAGTAAGAGTGCCCACTGTTAAGAGTTCTTGTCAGTTTAGAGAAAGCGTTTCATGAAATGGGTCTAACAATCGAGATGGTTTAAAGAACACAAGCGAGCAAACAAAGAAGCAAACAATCAAACTAAGCTAAAATTCGAGTGACTGTCTCGATCCTCCGTCCTGTTTAATGACGCTATCATTCTTTGAGAGGTGGTGTGAATTCTTAGCTTTTTTTTTAATTGATCGTCTTGATTGAGTCAAGACATGCACGTACGTTAGGATAATGAGTAAATGTATCACCTAAATAGAGTTGTTGTTGTTGTTGTTGTTGTTGAAGCAACTGATCAATAAGAATAACACAGTTGTTATAGGAGGTTAAACATGGCAGATTCCAGTATGTGGACATTTAATTTCGCCTTACTGTAAACAGCCAATTCAAAAAGCTGCTGTAATGCCGCTAGTAGGAGCATCGATAAAAGTTCACAAAAAAGTAAACAGATCAATTAGTTTTTTAACATTAACCTTAATGCTAAAACAAGTAGTTAAAATCTCCGCTTTTTAATGTTTGGATTTATAGAAAACGTGTAAAAATTGGGGCAAAGCCAGGTAGGGTTCCGTCAAGGAGGGTTGGGGCAGACAGCCCAGGTTCCTGGCAAACAACTGATACCAAGGGCCAATGGCCTAGGCCCAGCGAGAGTTAGCGGGGAAAGGGGGGGAGGGGGGGGGGGGGGGGACGACTAGAGAGGAGCATTGTTGTCAGTAAAACTGGTCATTTTCTTTGCAGGACAACTACCCGGCGTGCTGTGTAGGCTCAGGGATCGGAAGCCAGGCACCGCACACAAGCAACGTGGGTAAGTAGGGTGTGTGGTGACAGACTGCCTGTGATTGATTGATTGAAAAGGACTGTATAGTTTCTTGAAAAAGAGGCAGGATCGTTATGTTGAAATTGACTCGGTTTTCATAATTCCACACATATATGCAACTGGTGTTATCGCCTATAATTGTATACGTACTTGTCCTGATATATATCAGCCAAGATGTTAGAGGCAAAGAGTAGAAAAACAGCCTTTTATGCAGTCTACACCTCTGACTGGTTGAAATTAAGTCTTCTGAAATCATTATTAGGTGCGCCTTGTGCATCATCTTGCGAAAGGTAATTCACATTGTCGAAACAAAGACCGCGCTTCTATAATTCACACATTTCTACAGGAAATGGATCCTTCGTTTGAGTAGTTTCACTACCAACATATGTTGGGTTGCTGCGTCCCATATCGTCATCCACTGGGTACGGGTAAGTACGTCTTTCTTTTCGTGACATTGTTTTGCCAGCACTATAAAAATAAAATAATTCAAATTCTTAAAAAACTGGATCATGGGATAATGAAATTCAAGAGCTTTCGTTGGCTTAGCCATCATGGGTTATGAACCATTATACCATGCTCCAGAAATATGGTAAGCGTACAAATGAATTTTTGGTAACGTTTTTATTGTCATTCTAGTCTAGTTTGCCATATTTTATTGGAGTTTTTAATTAAAAGATTATTCCACTCGCGCTTGTTGGATATGAGATGGTTATAGCCAACACGGCACTAGGCGCCTCGTTGGTTATCCGCCAGCTCATATCCAACCCGCTCGTGGGTAATTGTTAAAAATGCGGGAGAAAATGCTATAAAATTAATCACGATAATGGGCATATAGAGTAAAGATGTAAATTGATGAAGATGAAGGATGGTAAAGTTATCAGACGAAAAAAAATTTAAAGAGGCTACCTGTGGTCATGCTATGTGTCATTATTTCAGCTTTAGATTTATTATTATTATTATTATTATTATTATTATATTTTTAAAGATTTTTATTTAACAAATAAAGAAGCTGAAGCCGTGTATTACACTGTGACAAAACAGGACGAGCATTTGAGAACACGAGGGAAATCTAGAAAACACGAGCCGCAGGCGAGTGCTTTCTACATTTCTCGAGTGTCCTCAACACGGCTTCTTCATTTGCTTTATGACATAGAGATAATGTGGCGAAAAACAATAAAACACGCTTTTTTTTTATGTTTTATACTCTGTTATAAAATAACTGAGATACTACACACGCCCTGATTGGTCAATAGAGTTGCTAAACCTATGTTCTCGATCTATGGTAGCTCTACGCGGGAACTAGACAGCTCGGAATTCTAGCGAATGTAAAAAACAAATGTAAAAAACAGTTTTGCTTTTAACTGGCTGAGATATCAATAACACGAATATCTTTTCATTCACCATATACATGGAAATTTGCAAGGGAAAAAAAGGACCAGAACTTGGTCGTCACATAAAGCTTTACCTTTTTTTTCCACGGAAAAAATATTACGCCGACTCCGGTTACGCTTGAGATTAAAATTAGGGAAGTTGTAAATCTTTTTTTCGGTGCTTTCCCCGGCCTGTGGAGGACGAAGTCAGCTGGGCTTGACTGATCAATTTGGGTTGTCACAAAAGCAGGAAAAAGATTTCTTTCTATCAGACATTTTGAGTTTAAACTCAATGCGTACATGCATAACACGATAAATGAATTCGGTTTCCGGCCATAAGCTTAGCGCTCAAGCCATAGTTTTAATTTAGCAAAATACAGAGAAACACGGACTTCATAGCCTTCAGCATAAGTAAATAAATTCTGAATAAATTTCGGAAGCAGCGTTTCTATAACTAACCTTGATTCCATTCGCAAAACTTTGGAAAGTTATCGTTTAACACTGCGGAAAGCTTGTAAATCACTCGCCTAACGGCTCGTGATTTACAAGCTTTTCTCGTGGTCTCCCAACATCCCACCTGGTTTATTGCGCCAGTAAACCCATAGAAAGAGTGGTCTATTGCTTAAATAAAACCTGGGTTTTTGACCAATCAGAACGCGTGCAGGGTCCTATCTATATTATAATATTGTTTGTGAGTGACCCACAAACTGGAATCATAAGCATCACTGCAGTTGGAAAATTAGCCCTTCCCTCATGCAAAGCTACCGTAGAAACATAGGTGTATTGAATTAAACAGGTTTAGACAATTTATTAATTTGGGGCGCAGGAACGTTCTCAGTTCATTCTGTTCAAAGTGAAGCTGATCCATCTTGAACCAACACTAACTGATCGAAGGAAATTCTCCACAAAAATTCTTTTTTAACTTAGCGCTATCGTGAGGTACATTTTTTTAGTAATGAAATAACTTACACACAGTGTTTCTTCGCACAAAAGATGGTGATACCAATCAACCCAATAAATATGCCGGCTCCTATTCCGCCAATGATTGTATATAGAATTGGCTTGGAGAAACCTTGCTTCTCAGTGCTGGAGGGGCTGGGAATTTCTGAAAGGAAATGCCAAAATATCAGTAAATATAAGTAAATCGCGACAGATTATGTAATTCTTCCAAGGCGAGTAAACTTATACTTCATTGCCCAACTCAAGACTTGACAGGCATGCTAACTCCTTATTGTCGTGCAGCAATATGACACAATAATTAATTGATTTCATGTCTTAAAATCGTGCGATCACTTTTTACTTGCATTTAGAATTGCCTACAACCAAGAGATGTGCTGTTTAACAGAGCAAAACAAGTTAAAGCTTCATTTTCAAATGACCTTGACAATTTTTGCGCGACTTTGATGCTGTCTGTCCGAAGGTTGTTGTCCCGGATGGACAGGATAAACATGACGTCTGGGCCTCTTGATCTTGGTATTCATCCACTGCGCATGCCTGGCAGCCAGAAGTGTTAAAGAAATATCCAAGTGGACAGTTTACTAATGCAAAAAATAAAACAAGCAAAACAAAGTGGTATCAGCATCTAAGTTCTAATTATACTAACACTAATAATTTATTATAACAATACATAGAGCGGTTTTGCAGTAATTGGTTTTGCATTACTATGCTACAACAACAACAACAACTAGCGGCACCATTTCATCCAATCAGAAGAAAAACCAAAAGCAATTATTACTTGTTCGCACGTGTTTTTCCGCTCTTCGACAGCTCAGTACGTGTATTAACTTCATGTTTTGATTGATTAATTTAGATTTTCTGTGTCCTTTGCATTGTTATTAAGCTAAAGTGATTACATTGGTTTTGGTTTCGCAACCCTCGACTGAAAAATACTATATTATTTATTGTACGTGAAGATGTGATTTAGTTGTTTGTGCACTAAGGGTTGCTTTTTGTTAGTTTGATAGTTTGTATTTGTATGCGTGTGCGTCGAATTAAAAGAACCAAGGTAAGCGGAACTGGCCGATCACTGGGAGCAAGGTAAGTGCACCGTATATTCTAATCCCGGCTGTCAAGACGCTGCCTATTACATTCAAAGTTGTCTGATCTTGGTAGAGTCAGGTGATCTGACAAAAGCAATAATAATAATAATAATAATAATAATAATAATAATAAAAATTCTTACCACATCTTGGCCCTCTTTGGACTTGTCCTTCACTACAAACAAGACTGGTAAGCCGAAACACTGGCGGCTTTGATGAATCATATACTATAATGACTCCGTTGATGTTCAATGTCAGGTCTGTTTCGTTCAATGCCTCGAGCAGGTTATTTGATATTTGTTGACTGGTCTGGTTGAGGTCAAATAAAGAGGCGTTGCTTGGTAACGGTACTTTTAAAGAAAAATGCACGGTAAGAGAAATTTTAGAAGCTTGCTTGCCATCAGGTGCGTCTCTTCTCCTACGTGCTTCAGTTTGGTTTCCGCATTCAACCCCCACGTTGTCGATCGTGCATTTCCCGTTGCAGCCTCCAGCCATACCAAATGGCGAGTTTCTGAAAAGGTTTATAAAATTGCCGGCGATGACTTCGTTCACGCTCTCCCCGCCGCACTTGTCAGCTAGATAATGTACATCTCCATTTACCACGGCTTCCTTGGGCATGTGAGTTTCTGTAATATTAAAATATTTACCTCTTACTAACCAAGAGCTATAGCCTTACTGGTGAGTATTGGCCCGTGGTCATGGCAGTACGGACCTCGCTGTGCTCGGTCCGTACTAAAATGACCGAGGGCCAGTATTTCCTTGAACGGCTCAAGCAAGCTTGTTAAGTAGTTTATTATTTCGCACTAGAGCAAGTGGAAAATCTTGAATTGTCTGGCTTTCGAAAACAAACAAACAAACAAACAAACAAAACAAAACAAAAAAACGTTTATAACCCTTTCCATGGAAACAGCCCGTATGGCTGAATCCAGACCAATAAATAACAAATCAGAACACTACTATACGGATTTACCTCAGGACTATCTTGTCATAAAATAAACATATAAATAATGATATTTTTATTAAAGTATTTTGATACGCAGGGTACGAAATTATACCTTTAAACTGGTACGGATTAAACGAAGATAAACTGCTAAAATGGGAGGAAAATATCGCACATCATATTAGCTTTGTTTAGAATAAGATGTTTAAAACATAGCATCTTCTCTTACTTGAGCAGTCGGGAAGACTGGGCGTTTCTTTCCCTGCATTTATCCAGATTCCCTTAGGACTACACACATACAGTGCTTCTGGTTGAACAACGAACCCGAAACCTTCATTGCAGTGCACGGTGCAAAACATGCCCTTTAGCCACGTCTCACATGCCTTGGCTCCATTCAAAGGTGCTTGTAAATCCGGACAAGTGTAATCTTTTACAGAGGTAAAGATAAATAAAAACTAGTTACTCGATTGACTAAAATTTGGTTGCCTTTTCTCCAGGTATTTTCCAGGTAGTTTTTTTTT